CATCACACTGGCACTGCAAGCACGCCCATCCTAGACCACTAGAACACACACTGTCCACCAGAAGAGCATGTGTACGTTAGAGCGTAATATATGATCATTTCTCACCATATTTGCTGTAAAGCAGGCGACTGTCCACTGAGCGCGCGATGATTCAGCTCGATTAGTCTTCCTCAGGAAGGCGGAAGTAATGGAGCGCAGAGCGCGTGCTCCGAGTGCTCTTCATCTACTGTCCAAAACCCTCATCATGTTGAGGAGTAAAAGCTAAACGCTATCTCACCCTGGCTGTTATTAACCTGGCAATCTTACAGCTCTCTTTGCTTTATATTTGACCAACATATTTGCAAGGTATTTTGGCGAAAGGCCATTATGAGATATATATATACCATTAAAAGTACTTTAAAATTGATTCAGCAAAAAACAGTAAGCCAGTGTAATGAGTTTTGATTGAGTAACATGTATATCTGTAGCTCGAGCCACTGTTTCAGATGTTTACAAGTAATAATAATGTTCAGTTTCTTGCACAGACCGATCATTGCGCTTCGTATCGTCAGAAGTGACGGTATTTCAAGTGACGCCAGCCATCTTAAGAATCATCAGGACCACCGCTTCAGCTGAAAATCTTCTGTTATTCTGAGGATGGGCATGGGTTTAATGAACGGCGCACTAGTGGCTCGAGAATGACGTCACGGTAAATCTTTAGACATTATCTGTGCGCCAGAGCCACGATTGACTGACCGCTGCCGGTCTGTCTGATGATTGGCCGATGGGAGATAATTAAACACCTACACAGATAAGACACAACTCCTCATAGTCAATATATAGGGGCTTGACCACAGAAGCGGCATCAAGCCGGTCAGCAAGTTCAGAGAATCAATATTTTTATCAAACAGCAAGACAAGCTGAGGTGAGATTGAACTCTTTGCCATGTTGGTCTGAGGAGTGTGTGAGGAGTCAGCAGGTACGCACACTTCTCGCAGAAGGCACTGAGTTTGTGTGTGGTGCAGCCCACCCAGTTTAACCAGACAGACTCCCACAATCCTCCGTTTGCATGTTTGTCTCAGGGTACCATGTTCATGTTGAAAATGTCCAGCTTCCTCGTGGCTTACGCCGCAGTCGTGTGCCAGATCACAGCTCAGGCGCTGCCCCAGCCAGGTAACGTCTCTGAGCTGAGCTGATGGATTCTCATCGGGTGGCTAACTCTCCGGTGTTTGTCTCCAGACCTGGCTCAGAGTCTCTGACAGACAGATGTGCGCTCATGGACTACGAAGCACGGAGATTACTGAGCGCTGTAGTCAAAAGCGTAGTGCAGATGACAGCAGGTACGATCTCCTTCTGCTTCCCTGAGTGTTAGCGGAGTTAGATGTGTGTGAGAAAGGAAGGTTTCCGTATGATGCAGTGAAACCCTGTCCCGTTCGCTGCATGGCTGCATGTTAACCTGAGAGTTGTGCCTGTTAGACTCGCAGCTCTGTGTGAACACTGCAGGTGGTCTGGCTGGGCCCTGCATGTGTGTGATGATACGCCGGTGTGCATGTGTGTTTCTCCCGACAGCCAGGGCAGATTCCTGCTCCAATCTCAGCACCTGCGTGCTGGGAAAACTCTCCGCGGAGCTGCACAAATTACAAATGCTCCCGCAGACGGACGTGGGCGCCGGTACGCCTGGCAAGAAACGCAGCCTGCTCGAGGTTCACCAGCTACGGAGAAGCGTTTAACCCCATCTAACCCTAACTGTGTGCATGTGGAGTGTGCCTGCTTGACTGACCGCACACAGACGGCTGGGTGCACTGCTCCTGTCCTTCTCTCCTTCTTTTGAGAAAGGCATGTTAAAAATCCAGATGAGAATTCTTCCGTACATAGTCAAATTCAGGAATAGGTTTTTTTGTGCATTTTACACATGCCTCTTGAATAAGTGAATACATGTATTTTAAAGGTAAAGATAATCTAAGTTCAGTTATTTTTATATCAGGAACTCTTACTTTGTCAAATTATTAGTTAAATTCATTTTCATGTGCATGTTAAGATTGAGTGCCTCTACAAATAAACATCAAATGCATCGAGATTTCTGCAGGTAGTCTGTGAATGTGATCCAGTAATAAGACTGATAATGCGTGAATAATGGTATGATAAATGCATGGAAGGAGCAGTGAGTGAGGTCTGGTCTGGCTGTGTGTTGAAGCAAGCAGAAACGCGCCTGTAACACAGCCACATGTGTCAGACTTCCTCAACTGCTCCGCAGGGCTGGGCCACAGCAGCTTCGTCCCGACTGACGTGGGCTCCCAAGCGTTCGGCCGTCGCAGGACAAGCTCTGGGCTTTGAGTGGCTCCAGTCCTGCGGGGTTTGCAGACGGTCTCTTCTGTCTGTCCTGTGGCCATGCCTCCCTGATGTTCTGCTGTTTCAGCTGGGAACTCGGCTCATTTTCAGCCGCAGAGAACAGAACAACTACAGCTACAGAACTCTGTCCCTGCGGCATTCTCTCCCCCTTAACCCAAGGCAGAAGTTTAAAAATGCACTTAAGCACTTCCTTATGTATTGACAGAGCGTCTAAAATACACAGAAATCTATAGATTTTGATATGAAATAAATCAGATTGATAAAGATACCGAGTGTTTATTCTCCATCTCTGTGAGGACAGAATAAATCCAGCCTGATCAAGGCTTGAGGACGGCTGTGCCTTCATGTTTGTGTAGGTTGTGATAATGAATGGAAAACACCGTATTTGTGTTGTTATGAACTTCTGAGAAGATTAAATGTACTGTGGGTACAAGGCATCAGTGTTTGCAGTTCGCAAGCCAGCTTTGGGCGAGCATCTGTTCTGCTCTTATTCAGCTTTATGAACAAACAGGTGAGACCTGCTGAACTGAACTGTATAAAGCAGAACAAAGCCCAGAGTCCTACAGGATTCACAAACATGACTTCATCATCTCTCTAACTGAATCCCACAGTATCGCTTCACATCTGCAGGGTTTGTTGTAAACCTCTAGCAGGTGAAGATAAGGGCCATTAACATCAGGGAATGACAACACAATATACAACTATTCAATGAACTCCAAAATAGACTGGACGTGATATAATCTTGCAATAATAGAGCTTGGCTGACATTGTGGTTCAAAAAAGCATTCGCAAATCCATAAAATATATACATTCGATCATTCATCAAGTCATTTCAGTTTAGACCGGGGCTCACCTCTGGTCCTCGAGGGCCTCTGTCCTGCAGAGTTTGGCTCGAACCCTAATCAAACACACCTGAACAAGCTCATCGAGGTCTTCAGGATCAGTAGAAGGTTACTGGCAGGTGAGTGTGATCAAGGCTGGAGCTAAGCTCTGCAGGACAGAGGCCCTCAAGGGCCCCTGGTTTAGACCTTTCCTGATCTGTCCAGTTCATTCATTCAAACCTGAGGAAGTGTTGCACCTTCATCGTCCAACAGGTGGCAGAATGAGTCTCACTTTAAAAGCCTGCTTTTAAAAAATAAATCTTTTCTTGAAAAGGAATGCTTTTGATGTTTTTTTTTTTTTTTTAATGATATGAAGTTGGTGATATTGTACAGCCAGTTGAAACAAACCCTTTAAACTAAGAGGCGTTCATAACTTCAGCGGTTTGTTGCCATTGGTTTCTATAGTCAATTCTTTATAGCTTTACAGTATTAAACAGGAAGAATAGTGTGTCGATATGGTACGGTTCCCCCTTCAAATTGTGCATCTGTTGGATTTCTCTCCCGTTTTATGCTCCAACAGCTGAAAAGACAGGATTAGAATTTAATATTATAACATATTCAGATCCTCTTTAGAAACAACTGTTTTTCAAAAGCACAAATACAATTCTCTCGTCATTAGTCCATGCTTTCAATGTCTCTGTGACACTAAATCAGTATCACAAAAACAAACCTGAGTCGTGTGTGATTCCTGAACCGCAGATCATACAGCATCTGTGAGTATGCATTAAGGCCCTTTAAGCGGCTAGGATTCGTTTTCCTGCACACATACTATTGCTGAAGAAAACAACGAGGAAAGATAGGCACTTGTGGTGTAACTTTTGTTCTTGTGGTTAATGGCAGTTTACTGGAAGTCAGTGTACTTTGAGCAACTAGTTGTTTTTATGGTCTCTCCACGGTCTCCATGCAATCCATTTGGATGAACTCAGCTGTGGAGGCTCTTGCGGTATCCACATGGAAAGTTATCTTGGAAGATCGTGGCAGGCTTGAAATCAGGGATTGTTTTTTTCTCTTTTGCTGGTTTCTCAGCGATGTTAGCGAGCCATTGAAGAGAGCACTGTTAATAGTGAACAGCTGTTTGTCATTTAGTCACTGCAGTTGAAGACAAATCACAACAGCGTCAGCACGGATCTCATTCTTTACAAACAACCAGCAAGCCATTAAAGTGCAAAATGTCATTTTCCTTTTTTAATTGTATATTTCGGCATCAAGGTCTGAACGAACATCTAAATGTGCTTTTGAACCAATGAGGTCCAGTGAAATGTACAATGCGTTCCTCAGCATGTGCTGTCTTTTGTTTTCATACGCTTTTTTTTTCCCCATGGCTGATTTTTCCACAGAGTAGCTGAGGTGAAATCAGACACCCTGAACGTGTACTGGTAAAAGTCTAGGAATAACCGAGCCCAGACAGCTCCTCCCAAAATCTCCCCTCTTCTGAGATTTTTCAAAAAACAGTCGTCTTGTCACATGAAAAAAGAGTTTTCTTTCCCATCGCAGTGGCAGCTCTGGCTCTCCTCACTGTTTTCCCCCGCGTCTGTTACCTCTCTCGTTCCTCCCATATCCCACATCTGGATTCCAGACCCACATTTATCTATGTGACTCCGGTTGTTTTTAAGGCAGTTTAAAGTTCTTAACCATGTACCGTTGGCAGCTGGGCTACAATTACACTTTACCATAGCCCGTCACTCTGCAATTAGATGTTTGACCACAGAATGTCTTGAAAAGCACAACCCTGCCGCTCATATGGCAGACAGAAATAGACGGGTTTGGTTGGACTTCTGCCCGGCTGAAACTATGCTGCCTGACTGATGAAGAGTTGTGGGCTCAGCTCACTGCAGGCTAGAGCCGTGTCTAGCGAGTCCCAGATCCACAGTGGAGACCCTCAAGACCAAATGAGCTGCCTTACTGAATGGGACGCACACACTTTGAGAAACTAGGGCCCTGGTAAGTGTTGCTTCTCTTTTCATGCACTTGGTTTATAGAGGTTTTCTTCTCGAATGTAAGTGGTGCCATGACCCCCTGAACTCGGTGTGTGTGGGACAGTTTATTGGGCAGCATCATCAGAGCGCATGATGAATGCGTCATCCAGTGATCTGTTTTTCTGTGCAGTATTTAAAATGTCTCATGTCTGGTGATAGGAGCTTTAAACCTGGATTCATTAATACATGTACCGTGTCCACTGGTCTCGAATTAGTTAGTCACACCGTTATCATGCTCTACAGACGCTTTTAAGAGTGTTGAGCTCTGAGTCTCTGACTGCTGCTGTCTAGCTGTTTATGGGAAGCATCATGCATGTGGAAATTCTAGCACTAATAACAGGGCAGAGCCGTTTAATGAGCATCTAGAGATGAGCGAGGAGACTCCACTGACTCACACAAACGCATCCGTGGATTTAAATGGCTCAGGGATACTGTTACTCCCCTCAATCCACACAGAAAGCCTCTTTGTTTCATGGGAGTCAGGCCTGGATCAAACTCACCCATGCAGGCTGGCAGTCAGCACTTTTCTCCAAACCCAAAGTGGAGGGTTACAGTGAATTCTTCTTCATAAGCAGTTTTAAAGCAGCCGGTCTGTAAACTGACTACTTCATTGTGGGTGGCGGAAGAGAGCCAAGAGTTTCACGCAGGACAGCCCGGTCTGCAAATGCTGCTTGAGCTTCTGTTTTGTGCTTTACCAGAAATTCAGTCTGGCCTTCCATCAGAACTACTGAATCAAAAGCAGTATTATAAACCGGAGAGTTCCGGTCCTTGATTCTGATTGGCTGAGCTGCGTTCGAAGCTGTTGTAAATTACTCTACAAAGTAACATACACCTTTGTTTACGTTTGTGTGTTGCTGGGCAACCACTTTGTTGCAACCACAACTGTTTCTGAGGAGCTACATTGTTTGGTGGAAGAATACTGTTTTTATTAATATCATTACACTTTATTTGCTCTGTTTTATTTTGTGAAACCTTACTACGTATATGGAATAACCGTTTTATAAATGCAGTAAGCCCCGTGAAGCTGTGGGTTACAGTGAATTTATAACAGCTAAGGGGGTTTTCTGCTTCACGTCGTGCCTAACAACGCCCTTTAGCTGTTATAAATTCACTGTAAACCACGGCTTCACAGGGATTATTGCTTTATATTAATTCAGTAAGCAGGTTTAGCAACTAAATTAGGTAACCTAGCTTTAAGTGTAGGTTAGTAACAATAACAGCCCAGGAGCAGGTTGTACCAGGGTAAGTTTACTTCAGGTAAATATAGCTCAGCTTCAGAGTGTGCCTTTTAAAGAGGCTCCAGTAGACTTGACACCACAAATACACATATGTCACAGGACATTTTCTGTATAATATATTCTCAGAAGAGGTTTCTCTGTGCATGTTTTACCAAACAGCAAACAGCTACTGTTAGCATGAATGTCAAGTCACCTTTATTTATATAGTGCTTTATACAATAGCTTTAAATGGTCTAGATTTGAATGCTAGAAAGTTCACATCAAACATACAGACATATACATTAATGTACTATGTGACTTTGTTACATTTTTGTTACATACATCAGTCGTCCCGTGTTTATTTGTGTGGCCAGTCATCACAGAAGGAACCGCGGAGTAAAGCTGACGCAGTTGAGTGTAGGTGCATGTGTCCAACTCCACAGCTAAAAGAGGTTTATTTAAACTGCACAGTACAGAACACCTGAATCAGGTGTCCCTTGAGAAAAACAAGCTCCCTTTTAAAAATAGTGCTTATTATGGAAAGGTACCCCTTGTGAAAAAGAAGTGTATTTAAGTATACTTTTATAAAGAGTACTTATTGGGAAATAATATACTTTAAAAGAACACACGTAAGTGCAAATTAAATATGTTATTTTCGCCGCTTAAATACATTGTATTTGTAATTAATTTCAAATGTATCACATTTTAAAGTTATATTAAATGCAATAAGTTGAACTTTTGAGTGATTTTTTTAAACCACCTAAGAGGGACTTTTTAGTACATCTTTATATGTATAATTATATGTTCATAATTGCTTCTAGTGTCTTTAAAATATGGTTAAAGTGTACTACTAATGTACTGACAAGCAATTCATGTTAACTAAAACATACTTTAATGTCAGTTAACAATACACTTAAGTGTGAATTATGTAATGTTTTCGACCACATAAATGCATATTATTTGTACTTGATTTCAAATATATTACAGTTTAAAATTACATTAATTGCAATTAGTTGAACTTTTGAGTGATATTTTTGAACCGCTTAAGTGGGACTGTGGTATATTTTATATGTACTTTGAAATATGCTAAATATGTACTTCTGAATAAGCAACTAATGTGAACTAAAATATACTTCAATGTCATATATCTCTGGCAATGAAGTTGAAATTTAGTAATATATATATATATATATATATATATATAGAGAGAGAGAGAGAGAGAGAAATAAAATCTCTTAATTACCTAGTTACAATCACAAAATGGAAAACCCTCTACATTTATGGACAAAATCTCTAAAACAAATACACAAAAACACTTTTTGCTGATGCACAAGAAAAACCCAACACTATACACAGTTACAACACTTTAACTCGCTTATTAGCGTCTGGAGAACAATGCAAAATCACTTACATACTTACAAAAGTACCTGATCTCGCCATCACAGAAAACATCATTCTGTATGATCTATAAGCCTGTTTCCTCACTGAAAAAAAATACCTGGAGGAAAGAAAGAAAGAAAAAAACAGAAGAACAACCATTGTCATAAAACATATGCAGTCATTATAAATGGTTCAGTTGAGTGAAAGCAATAGACACAGTTGCAGTCCAACGTTTATATACACCTTGCAGTATCTGTAATGTTAAGCATTTAAGCAGTAAGAGGGTAGATGCTAGAATCATTAAAAAATGGCCATTTCTGCTCTGATGAAGCAGTTTATTCTGCAGGTGTGTGTAAAGGTTTGACCACATCTGCATCAGCTAAGAGATGAATTACTCAGTCATCAGCGCTCATCGTCGTAGAAAGCTGGGAGATGTTCCTTCAGATCTCCCACAAACAGCAGAATCCCTGACCACACCATCTTCACTGACACTGCGCTCTAAAAATAGATTACGTTTATACAAACATTTATTATTCCTACTTTATAGGGAATAAAACATAACTTTATCAATTACCAAAAAATAGATAAATATCCCAGAATCCATGAAAATGAAGAGAGGTATCTTCAGTAGTTTTTCTGATCTTGCAAGCTTCTCTCGCACATCTTCATGAAGGATGTTCCTGTATTTACCACGACTGACACAGCAAAGCTGAAGCCCCCTTCCTTGTGTTGTTACCTGTAAAATATATGATGATAAGAGGGGGGACTGTAAATGCACAGGTGGGAACATATTACTTGCAAATGGAAAAGATTCAAAGCAGTTAAAATCCATAGGGATAGTGACTTAATGGCACTTTTAGCTTATAATGTGTGATCAGGGTGAGCTGACTGGGCAACAATTCATTATAAACTTCTAACATCACCTCTTCAGTACTGGTCTGTGTTTCCACACTGTAACTCAAGTAACAAAACTGTTCTGATCCTGCTAAATGAATTAATAACTCCTGATAAGTACAACAATATTACACATTACAAACACAAGCAGTAACAGAACATATCGCTCTTCAAATGCAAAAAACAAAACAAAAAAACAACAACAGCAACAGCATTATTTCTAGAGGTGGCTGATATATTGAATATTACTGGTGGTTATAATATCGATTATGTACATTAAATATTACAAGATCGGATCTTTGAATTTAGTTAATCTAAAATATTGTATTTTAAGCAGCCTTTTTTTTTTTTGGTCCACACACGCGATCACATTGCGATATCAGAACGCAGTCATAGACACGATTAATGCACCTCCCGAGTGCATATAGCAGGAACTGCCGCGCTACGGTGGAAGCCGCACGAATGGCAAGACTAAATTAAGAATAAAGAAAGCTTACATCAAGATATACTTGCTTGATTCATTATCTGCAGTACATAAAGTCTCATCTGTAATCATCCAAACGTGGCGCTCCTTTGTTCTCTTGTTCGTTCCCTCACGCATCGTGATTACACAAACATGCACAGCACATTTGTCAAACTCTGCGGAAGTAGTGCGCCGTCATGACGTAGTATTTTGGCGCATGCGCATTAAACAAAAGACCCAGTGAGGTTACATGTTATTTCAAGCTTTCCATTTCTGTTCAAGTTCAAGTTGTTCTAATTCATTGTGTAGTTAGTCCAAAGACTATGGTTAGACTCATTCATGACTCATTCACCAAACTAAAAGTCATTTTTACAAAAGATAGTTCACCCAAAAATGAAAATTTGCTAAAAAGATACTCACCCTACATCCAAGATGTAGATGAGTTTGTTCGTGGAAATGAATGTGTTCTCCTGTTCGTATAAACACAAAAACCTCATGATTTAAAATGCACTTTAAAGTAAAACTTTTAATTTGACACACAAAGCACACTTTTTAGAAGCGTACGAAATATAATCATGTAACGGCTCTTTAAGTACACTTAAGTGGTCTTTATTCTATTAATATTATATTATCCAAAAATACAGTTTTTAAAATATACGTTTAAGATTTGAAATAAACTACAAGTGCACATACAATATTCAGTTTAAGTCTATCAAGTCAAGTCAAGTCACCTTTATTTATATAGCGCTTTTAACAATACAGATTGTGTCAAAGCAACTGAAC